CTGTATTTGATAATGTTTTGAAATTTTAAAATACTGATGATAGAAACAGAAGCTGCTCTTCATAGTGACAAACAATAACAGGAACAACAGCTTTTTGACAGGTTTAAAATTTCTTTAAAATACATCAAAAAATATATTTAAAAGTTCACCCCAAAAATAATTTGATGAAGTGCAAATTAAAATAAAGTTGTATCTGCAACTGTATTTGATAATGTTTTGAACTTTTAAAATAGTGCTTGGTAAAAACAGAAACTGCTCTTCACAGTAGTGATAAACTTTGGTGTTTTTTGATGAGTTACTTTCATTTTTGCTTCTACTTTTCATTTAAAATAAGTTTCCATTGTCGGCAGGTTTCTAAGGTTCTTCTTCTACATATTAAAAAAGTTGTTAAACATCTGAGTGGTGCACTACCGCTACTAGTGGTGAGAAAGTGTATTGCACCTTATTCAAAATCAATGTGGTCCCACGGCCCTCTGCGGCCCAAAGTTAAAAACTGTTGTTCTTTTGAGGCCCTCGAGGTGTGGGCCGCGGTCCATGGGTTAAGAATGTCTGGATTATACTGTAGCTCTCATTAAGGACAGAAAAAGTTCTGAAATAATTTATCTTGGTCTGATTTTTTTCACATCACATAAACCTAGAGTTTAACTGGGGTGTGCAGACGTTTTAAATCCACTTTGCCCACTATAAAACCGACTTGAAGCAAAAATTATGTTCTCTGTCTCTGATTTAAGAGGTTATTGTGTGTTTAAATGAAAATGAAAAACTGCCACATTTGCCAGTTGCTTCCTGTTTTACAGAAATGTTACCTTATTAACTGAGGCATGTGCGGAACTGTGGTTTGTGTGTACCATTACACCCAGAGTAATTCCTATAGAACTACTGTTCTGATCAAATTGTCACATATTGTTTTTGTTTTTCTGTGACAGTGACTGAAATGTTGGTCAACGTCCTGAGTATCTGCTCTGACGATGAGCTCATGAACGATGGAGATGAGATTTACGATGGTGAGACACATCGGTGAATGTTCTCAGAGCAAATGTCCCTTACTTTTAGGTTACTTACTTCATAAATAAAGAACTCAAGAATTATCAACTGAAAAAAGTTCATTTGAACAATCTTATCCCTATTGTTTACATAGTTTCTTGCAATCTGGATCTCTCTTACATATTTTTTGCCATACAACTGATTCAATTTTGAAGTCATTCTAATTTAAGATGGCTAACACCACTAATAGACATTAATGCAAAAACAGATACAACACAGTCATTTTTGCAGATACTGAGTTACAATTTAGTGTGGCAGTAGTTGGTAATCATCCTTTACACATACTGTGAGAGCTAACAGATCGGACATCTTGCCTGAGATAATCATCATTTACAAGGTTTGACTAAAACAGCTTTAACACTTTACTCTTTCATCATGAGATGATCTTGATTTAAAACTGTAGGTAGGAGTTGATAAACATTCCCTCAAGTAATGCCAAGCTTTCATTATTTCTCAAGTTATCTTTATGACAAACGCATATACCTTTAAACAGATGTTGTCTCTGTTACAGCCAGTGCAGCAGCTGCGAGGAAAGAAGTGATCAAAAATAAGATCCGTGCCATTGGAAAGATGGCCAAAATGTTCTCTGTCCTACGGTGGGTTGAGTTCCACTCATTTATATTTACAGTGTAGTAAGTTCATGTCTAAGTGTGTGTGTTTATATACAGTGTGTGTGTGTGTGTGTGTGTAAGAAAATCAACTGTCACCTAGCCTGGTAAAAGCCAGCCACTTGTCCTTCGCTTTGCTTCGTACAGAGGGTCTGTACTCTCGGCTACTGAGAAGCTATTGTTTGCTGGAGGCGTGGCCTCTGTTGAAGTTTAAAACGATAGGATCTGATTTACCCAATTGCTAACATTTGAACATGACATATGCTGTGCACCAGCTCAACTGTGAAGGCAGCTGAGCTAAGAGGCTAACTGGAAATTGCGTTCACTGTAAACAACCATCCGCTACTGGGAAGAGAGAAGTACTGAGCTGAACGAAGTTGCTGTAAATGAGAGCAGCAGGCTTTGTCAGACAACTTTAACTTATATTGGAAGTCTTGTCAACACGAACTGGCTTCATTCACTTCCTTCACTGTCATTGCTTTTTTTTTTAAAACACTTCAGTAAAAAAAGAACAGAATGTTAGTTTAGTTTCTTCATCATCAGTGACAGTTTTTTTAAAATAGAAGAGAAGAAAAAGAAAGAGAAGAAGATTGAAAGAGAGATTAGATGTGTGAAATATAAACCAAGAAAATACAAGACAACACACCTGACACCTGCACACCTGTAAAAACGGAGAAAACAAAAACACAGCAACAAATAACATGTATATCATAATAATTAAAACTTGGCTGAAATATACTGTATACATACATACTAGGGGTGCATACTAAGGGTGCAAGGCAGGAAATTCACGGTTCGGTTCGGTTCGATACTTTAGTCTCACAGTTGGATATTTTTTCGATACAAAAAAGAGAAACTTCCATGCCACTTTTAACTTGTAATTTATTTATATTAATTATGAACATTTGTTTAACCTCAAAAGTACAGTTTTTTAATCAAATGTTGCTGAAACAGCAAGTTTCTCAGTGGACCTGCGCTAAAAAATGCAGCCTAGGTGGAGTAGTCAAACACAGATCCACTGATTCTTCAACACAGAGCCTCTTCAGAAGACAAGTTGATAAAGTAAATTTTTTAAATCTGTATTGTTCGATACAGCACTGTTCGATACGGTTCGATACGGGTACATGTATTGTTGCACCCCTAATACATACATCTACCCATACATACATATATAACTATACTTACACACATACATATACATATCCACATCTATACTTATGTACACCCTCATTGACCGTCAGAAACTCCAGAATCTGAACACCAGCTTGTGAGCGGTTGTGAGCATGCATGTACAAGATTTTTCCAATGGAATATTTAATAGTGACTGTGGAGACCCAAAGACCCAAAGCAGACATAAGGGGGACCAGAGACCCCGAGAGTGACCCCAAGTGAGGAGCCCCCAGGGGCACCAGCGCAGAAAGAGCCACTCACCCACCCCCCAGAGTGGACCATAGGAGCGATCTAGGAGAACCCCCCAGCAACCCCAAGCAGTAATCCCCCAGGGTTGACAGCTACGAGCTCACAGGCCCCGCTGGCACCCCCGCACTGAAGCAGATCCAGGCATGGACACAGAGGCCCAGGACCCCAGGGCGCACCACCCCCAGGCCAAGGCCCGTTTGGGCCAGAGGACCCAGGCCCCACCAGGCAGCCACCGGGCCGAGCCGGCACACGCCCAAGCACCCGTCCCCAGACACCGAGGGCCACGAGTACACCAGCGGGCAGAGGCACAGCCCACCAGAGAGCAGAGTGGCAGGGGAACAAAGCCCACCACCAGCAGTGGGCCCCCAACTGAACCAGAGGAAGGGGCAGCCCAAGACTCAGCCTGACACATATCCAATCATACACAGACACAATCACACAATCCCACCCTCATCCTCACACCCATTCATTCAAAGACACACAAGATGGATGCAATACTCCAATCATTCTCTCCTTACATACTCTATACCTCCCAGGTCCAGGACATACACACGCTGCCGGCAGAGGGTAGCTCACATACGGACCCAGCAGGTAGTCCCGTTCATTCTGGGGTGGAAAGGACAGCCAAGGCCCGGCCCGGACCACACAAGGCCAACCGGTCAGCCCCCCTCCACCCCCCGCCGCAGTGTAGCCACGCCCCAATCACCCCCACACACTGCCAACGGCCTTGCGCCCACCCCAACCGGCCACTCACTGGACTCCGGCAGCCCCTGGCCAGCGGGCCAACCACGGCAACCAGGAGCCGTACCCTGGAAGTCCAAACGGCCCCAGGGAAGCCGGAGAACCAGACCTGTCCCCAGCACCCCTCTAGGCCCCGAGCCCACCAACAGCCCAAGCTCCTACCAGATGGTCCGACCCCCACACACACACACCTCCACCCTCAGATGTGATGTGATGCGTGCTGTTCTATAGTGCAATTAAAATGGGGAAGAAGAGGGGCAGAGGCCGGCATGGTGCCAGTTTTTCCTCCACCTCGACTCTAACCCAAAACCCTAAATGTCTACAAGCAAACAATGGGAGTGGGCACAGGCATCAGTGGCGAGAGAATTCCCTCCCGCCCCTTGCATGCCACAAGTGCCCAGTCCCACCCCCAAGTTCCTATATGTAAATGTTATGAGGATGTTATAAGACTTATAACTAGACATTCACTTATAATATAAGTGAATGTCTAGGGTGTACAGTAAAATTGGGGCCCAGGTGGTTATGGCAAACGGAGATGTAAAATTGTTGCTCCTTGTAATGTACCTGCACCCCAAAAGCCCTACATGACCTACGAGTGCAGTTGAAAATGAAGAAGGTGGAAGTATGTGGTGAGGGATGAGGGGGAAAATGACTGGGGGAGCAAAATGCTCCCACAGGGAGTCAGCTCCCCCACTGACCCTGGTAGGCACCCCCGTAACCCCGAAACCCACCCAGGGATTGAGGCCCCAGTACCTCTTCCTCTGGACAGACCGCCAGGCCTGGGGAGCCCTAGACCATGGCTGAACAGAGCCCAGAGGACCGCTAGAGACCGGGACCAACAGTCTCCCCCAAGCCATCCAAACCCCCAAGACCCGACCCCCAGCTCCATAGCCAACCTGCAACCCAAGGAAGCCACCGAACCCCGGCAAGGAAGATTCAGCCGAGAGTGCCCACCCACCCAGTCGCCGACAGTGCGAGGAGGCCATCAAGAGCGAACCCCCGCCACAACAAAGGAGCCAACCAGCCGGCCCAGCACAGCCCCGAGACGCCACCATAGGCCATGTACTCTGCCCCACCCCAGAAGGAATACTACACCCACCCCAAAATTCAGACACCTCTCAACATATAACACACTGGACACTGGGCTGAGTCGACCCGCCCCTTCCCGTGGGCCACCGGCCCCGCCCCTGCCAATCCAACCCCCCAGCCCCCGAGACCCGGAGCCCACCAGTGCACCGAAGGCCCCCAGCCCCGAGCCGAGCACCAGAGCGCAAACCGACCCAGAGCCCTGGCAACATGCCCGCCAGGGCCCGACACCCCCAGCCCCACCAGAACCACAGCCCAGGGGCGGCACGACCCCAGAACCCCAGGCCCTCCGCACCCACCCCAAACCCACCCCAGCACAGCCAGGTCAGTTCACTGTCATTGCTAAACTACAGGCAGATGAAAACAGAGCAGAAAATCTAGGTCATCGTTCAAAACTCCTCCTTGTGTTGATTGGCTCGTTGAAATTCTCCCGAAGAAATCCTTGTCTAAGGGAGAAATCCCAGACGAAGCAGAGAAGGGAAACTAGAATAGAGTGGAGCTGTGAGTTCTGAGTTTAAATCAAGTGTGTGTTTGTGGATTTGCAGGTGTGCTGTGTGGGGAAGTGTGTCAATCACTGAAAACCTATCCTTACCACCTGCTCCCTCTGTTTCTTCTGAACCCACACACATCTGGCATCCTGCCACAAACACTCACTGTGTCTGTGTGCTTTTTGTTGTTGTTGTTGTTTCAGAGAGGAGAGTGAGAATGTCTTGACCCTGAAAGGTCTGACTCCTACAGGCATGTTGCCCAGCGGAGTGCTGTCTGGGGGCAAACAGACCCTGCAGAGCGGTAAGTGTCTCACGCACAGTCACACACAAACACTGTCCTTCCTTTTCAAACACACCTTCAGAAACAAATACCTCAAAGGGAAATCAGAACCAGAACATACGGACAGTAAAAAATGCTTCGGGTCATCCTCCGGTTCCTTTGCTCTTCTCCTCACATCGCTGCCGTTTTTCCTCCCATCCTTTAACCTCACTCACCTCCCTCCACCTTGCCAGCGCCGAAGATACTAACAGCCTGCCGCTGGTTGTGTTTGTGTACGTGAGTGCAAGAGCAAGTCAGAAAATTACAGAGCGTAGATAGCGGTGTTATTAAAAATGTTCAGAACCCTGGGAGGACTTGCAGCTTTTTTGTGCATGCCTGTGAGAAAGAAAGGCGAGAGGACTAACACAGGCTGCTGCTAACACCAAACGCTCCCTGAAGCTGCCTCAGAGATGCTCTGGGGGCTTTAAATGTTTAAAGCCTGAAACATGCCCCTGAGTCTGACTTTACAACCAAGTTTTACTTACATTTCTCTTTTATTTGTAGCGTTTAGAGCCAGTTTTAAGGGGGTAGTCCTTTGGCTTGCCTTCTTTCATGTTTTTTCAGTTTCTTTTAACTAACAAAATAAACTGTAAGCACCCAAAGGAAATGGTTTGATTTGGATGTAATTTGGTCCAAATACAGACTAGTGATAGGTAAATGATTTGATTCATAAGGAGTTGGCACATCTAGAACAGGCACCAGAGGGCATACATGGTGGCATCGCAAGTAGAGCAATAGTGTTATCAGAGAGTTATCAGATTGTCTGACAGTCAGTCTGAAACAGTGGGTGAAAGTCAGCAGACACACAGAATGCCTCATAAATGCATCAAACACTACCAGCACCTATTGAGGTGATTGTATTGATTGTCTAACCGTTAGACAATGAAACTGAGACACCCATCATTTTAGTGTGGGAAGTTTCATGGCTAAATTGGACCAGCCTGGTGGCCAATCTTCATTAATTGCACATTGCACCAGTAAGAGCAGAGTGTGAAGGTTCAATTAGCAGGGTAAGAGCACAGTATGGCTCAAAATATTGCAATACACACAACATTATGGATGACATATGTTCAAAAGAGGACAAATTGTTGGTGCACGTCTTGCTCGAGCGTCTGTGACCAAGACAGCAAGTCTTTGTGATGTATCAAGAGCCACAGCATCCAGGGTAATGTCAGCATACCACCAAGAAGGACCAACCACTGGATTAACTGTGGAGCAAGAGGAAGCTGTCTGAAAGGGATGTTATGGTCTAAAACCAGGTGTTTCAGGTTCATTGTCTAAGCCCTGTATATGAGAGCAGATCATGAAAGTTCTGATCACCCAAAGCTGACCTTTTGTAGTAGGGACAGTCATGTTGAGGCCAAGCATTACAGAACACCCTGACTTCTGCCCCTGCCATCCAGACACAGGTACTGGACATGGTATTGGGATGACCCAGAGTGCTACAACACCCTGGACCATCCCAATACTGTGTCTTGAGGTGGCACTCACTCGTTTTATGTTTTAGCTACCATTAACACCAGATAACTCCTGTGTTTTGAATGATACCATACCTGGGAGGTTTAGGTTGATGATGACAGATGGGGAATCAGTTTTAGTTCTGCCTTACCACAGATTTTTGTTTGCTTTTATGTAGGTTCCAAGTGGAGAGGATTGTTTCTGCCTTTGTTGTAAAGAGATGCAAACTTAATGTTGGACATCCTAGAGTACTTCAGGTTACTTCAGGTACTTCTGGCAGGGTTTGAGGGACCCTGATGGCACAGAGTGACATCAGTGATATCCTGTCTGCACTCCCACCCCAACTTCAGGCTTCTACATACTCCAACCGAAGCCAAACAGTAGATGCGCGGACACGTGGTGGTTCGGCGTTGGTTTTTGCACACACCTTTCATAGTTCCTGAGACACACAGCGCCGAGCTCCTGGGAAAACCCTCCTGTTGCGGTACATGTCACTGCACGAGGGTCCTGCCTGAAGTCCATACTTCGAAAAAAAAACTCTAATCCACCGTTATTTTTTTCACAATACTGTCCTGGTTAGATCCGCCATTTTGTCAATGCTCCACACAGATTCCTTCGTACAAAACGACTTTTTTTATCTCCACTCATGAATTTTTGGCCGTTTGACGATCTTAGTTAATGCCTGCTTCTGGTTATAACAGTCACATTCAGGAAGCGAGTTGACCAAGCGCTTACAGCATAAGCAAACACCCCCATGAACATCAGACCAATCACATATAAACTTCTTAGCGGGGGGGTGTAAAAAGTTCTGCCGGTGGGGTGTGACGCAGAGTCGACACTGAGAACACAGTGACATATTTTCCATTATGAAACTCTGACGATCCGAGCTGACGTCAGCTGGTCGGAGAGAGTATAAAGAGGCCCTGGTACGGTTTCTCAAAAAGACATTACGATACGTGTGTCCGCAGACTGTCTGCATCATGTTGAGGTCTTCTCATGGTCCCTGATCCTTCTCCAATCACTGGAATCAGTCAGCAGTTGTCAACTAGAAGTCAGTGCTGATGTGCCAGATCTTGAGTTCCAACATCTGTGGTCCGACTTGCTGCAGGAGAGGAAACAGCTGTATGACATTGTTCTGTGAATCGTTTGTATTCAGGTCTGTCATGGGACTTGTACTGCCAACCCTGTTATCTGTCTGAATACAGTCACAGGTGCAGTTTCGTTTAATTTTAACCACTCTTTCTGGGCATTTTACTATAGTTACTAATTGGCGCGTTTGTTTAAAATTGGTAATGAGAAATTCTCTGTTTGCTGTTAGATCAGTTCAACCTCTATTGTACCCAAAAAGTGTTTGTGAACTGAGATCAACACCACGCCGGTCCTTTGTTCCCTGAGGCAAAGATGTTAATGCATATCTGCACAGAAGCATGTTTCAGCCTTCACTTCGTTTTCCTTCTCCTCTTTCTCCCCCTGTACGTCTTCTTCTCTTTCGGACTCTGTATTCTTCTCTCTCTTCCTGTCATTCTGTTTCTCTCTTTTTTTGCCACCCTTCAGCCACCATTGAGGCCATAGAAGCTATCGAAACAGTTAAGGACGCTGAAGGTAAAATCCCTCTCATTTCACTGTGTGTGTGTGTGTGTGTGTGTGTGCATCACGGCGGGGCTCACAGCCGTCGTGCTCCTGAGGTCATAGATTTCTTTTGCACACTTCTAACTGCATAAGCTCTCAAAACAAAGCCTAAAACCGCTGCATGCTTAGGTAACAACATGAAACACGAGTCTCTCCTTTGTTCTCCTGGGAACATCACACAAACATTTATTTACATCCTCTTCAGATGCAACAAGCAGACGTGTTTTTTTTACCACCTAAAGAGCAGATCTGAGTGTGAGCGGTGATGGTGGACAGGACTTTCTTATATTTTATACGAGCCACAACACTCACCTGAGATGATGTCTGGAAGTAAATCTGAGCTGTTGAGAGGAGACTTGTTTTACGAAATAAATCCAAACAACTGTGTCTAAACATAGCTTTTTCTGCAAAAAAAATCACTGATCGAACTGCAGAGAAAATGTGACGGGACACTGGATTTCTGCTTCTTTCATGAGATGACACGTTTTTTTTTTTCTTTTCTGTAGACCGATAGTAAATATTAAATATACGTAGCACAACAAAAAAGGAGACTTGTGTTTGGTAGATTCTGCTTCTTATACCACTGGAATGTGGGGTGCCATTTGTAAAGTTACACAGTCATAAATTACCACCAACATTTTTGTTTTATTTAGCCTTTTATAAGAAAAACGAACGTATTTATTTTTCAGTCAGTTTTTCACCATATGATTCATACATTTATAAATGTCACAGTTTATAAACTAAATATTTAACTTACAAATTAAATATTTAAGTCACAAGCTAAATATTTAACTTGTTAACTAAATATTTAATTTGTAAGTTAAATATTTAGTTTATAAACTACAACATTTATAAATGTATGAATCATATGGTGAAAAACTGACTTTGAAAAATAAATGTGTTCTTTTGTTCTTATAAAAGTCTAAATAAAACAAAAATATTGGTGGTAATTTTTGACTGTGTAACTTTACAAACGGCACCCCATGAAAGCCTGGTAATTTCCCTTTTTAAATGATGCTACATTTGTAAGGAACATGCATTTGTGGGAGTAGAGCTGTGGGGTGTTGAAATGAAAAAAATTGTCAAATCATCTCTTCCATTGCCAAACAGCTTATTTTGCTGTTGCTATCGACAGTTGTTTTGAGCTTCTGGTACCCACAGGTAGCTGCCTACCAGGTGCATGATACAGTATATAGGATTTATTGCCAAGAAGTAACAAAGAAATAATCAAACACAAATATCCTTCCTTTTTGTTAATTTATATAAGTCAAGCCTTTAAATCAGTGTTATGCATGTGTAGTTTTCCTGGAATAACATCAAGTGACAGGCCTGGGATGATCCTACTGAACACGTTGTTGTCGTGGCTTTTGTGTTTAGTGAATTATTATCTGTATTCACAGACTTGAGTGATCTGCATGCTTTATGTCCCTGCTTTGTGTTTAGTGCTGTATTTAGCTTACCTGGAGTGCAATCCATAATTTGTTTATTTAAATGAATTATGGAGATTCCTTGTGTTTTCCTCCTGCTGTCGTGAAATGTAAGTTATAGCTCGTGAAGTGCAGTTTATAAGGAATGACACGTAAAGAAATGTTATGACTGCCTTTGTTCACAAGTGGCGCTGTTCTCTCCAGAAAACATTTTGGATTGGTCTGTAAACATCTGCAACACACAGTGACCACAACTGAGTTTGTTTTACAGCTTTAAGTTAGAAGATTTTTACTATTATTACAAGTGTTTTAATTTAATTCAGAGACACAAAGGCAAGCAGTCATGGTTAATCTGTTGTCTCATTATGAAACAAACTCCAAAGTGTTTTCTAGTGATTTATTGACAGAATTTACTAAAGTATAAGGTTGGTAGAGATGGACTGCATTAAGGTGTTTTTATGATGTGCAATGTTTTATACATGTCCTTTTGTACACATGGTTAAAACAAAAATATTAAATACCAATCCATCCATTTCTTTTACCCGCCTCTCCTTTCTGTGTTGTGTAGAGCTGGTGTCTGTCTCCATCAATCTCTGTGTGAGAGGCAGGGTCCATCACAGGCATACAGACTACATGGGGACGATTTAGAGTTACCAACTAACCTATTAAAGAGAAATAAACATTTCACCCGTTGTTTGCCTCTTCATACAAATTTCAATGCTAATATCATTATAAAAATAAGATAAAAACCTTAGTAATCTGAATTTATTTGTTATCATTTGTCCAGTTTACATTCTGTTTTAAAGTTAAAGGGATAAATCAGATCCTTTGAAGCAGGGTTCAGTGGGACACCAAGTCTAAAATAAAATTTACAAAAATAGACACTAACACATTTTCATTATTTAGCTCACTTCCTGAGTGTTAGTTGAAAAAAATTCCCCTAATGTTTTGTTATTCGGCTCACAGTTTTTACATTTTTCTTTTTTTTTTTCAAATTTTTAAATATTTTCTAAATACAAATGTGTATATCTTAATGTAAAAGTTAAATCTTAAGTATTGAGGTTTGCATTTAAGTATTTTAGAATGGAAACCAGCCTTTGCTGTTGGTGTGCAACACTTCTTATATGACGTCATCATCCTGCGCCTAAAGGCCCTGTCACACTGGACAAATTATGCCAACTTAAGAAACATTTTTGTCTAAATTGCTAATAAAATTTGTAGATTTAATCAGTTTGTTAGAATTACTGTATGTACACACCTAAAAGAAGCTTCCAGTTGAATTTTTCAATTCCATCTTTAACATAGACGTGTTTAAAATTTTCTCAAGTTGGCATAAGTTGTCTAAAACATCATTGTGTGACAGGGCGTAAGCTGCTAATGGTTTCCTACAAGACATCAAACTTACAGTACCAGCCATATTATTTAAAACAAACACATTTGGAATTTAAATTTTAAATGCCATCTTCAGCAGCATTAGAGGTTGCTTTTGTTGCTTGATGATGATGTCATAACAAAAGCCACGCACCAACAGTGGAAAATGTGTTCTATTCCAAAATACTTAAAGGGGAAATATCATGTAAAATCAACTTTTTTGGGTTCTATATCATGTTATAATGTTATACTCTCATAAAAAACATGTCCATAGCCTTGCTCTGACTCATTCATGCATGTTTGAGAAATCCTGCAGTGTTTTTAGGAAGCCATGCTGAGGAGCAAAACGACAGGTGGGGACCAGAAACGCCCCCGGGACGTGTCTTTAAGCCAAACTTCCTCATGGCAGAGCACCCTCCCCAAACACCCCGCCCATGACTCCTGCAGGCTCTCGGGTGAAAGTGAAAGTGAAACTTAACTGTCTGCTGAGCTCTCAACATTAGTTGTCACTCAGTGAAGCATTTTTCAGATTAAAAATACCTTTGAGGAAATGTATTTTCAGATGCCAAGTAAACTGCATCATGGCAGCCCCCCCCCCCCCACACACACACACACACACACACCGAAATGGGCGAGACAGAAGCGGAAGGTGGTTCTTGTGGTTCTTAAAGAGACAGAGGCCAATTTCAAGGCATTTAGAAGAGGAAGTGATGAGAAGTTTATTTTCTATTAAAACATAAAAACAGCATTTTAATAACAGCTAAAGGTGACCTAGATACATTACTATGGTATAGTAGTTAAATGTATGCCTGAGAAACACATAATATTGGCCCTTTAAAGATAAGCTGTAACGTTAGCCGTAACGTTTAAGATTTAGAATTTAAACTTTACAAAAAGCATTTAGAAATTTTTGAAAAATGTAAGAACAGTGAGCTGAATAACAAAATGTTAAAATTTTACATTCAGAAAGTGAGCTAAATATTAAAAACGTGTTAATGATTTTTTAAACATTTTAATTTACATTTAATGCCTCATTGTGGTGAAATTATGAGCATGTAATATACAGTATCGCCTGTTGTACGTAGCTATTTGAACAACCTTATTTTGGAGAAATAAACATCATTTTGACCAGACTGATGAGCTGAGATCAAACATTCGGCTTAATGTAGCAACAAAAAAAATTATACCAATATTTTTTTAATCTAAAAAAAATCGTAGGATTCAGATTCACTCAAATGTTTGCACATCTTCCTCTTTTGAGTCTTAAAACAAGAAGTAAGTAACAGTTAGTAATTTTTCTTTTACGACTTGCAACACTGTTCGCTGACTCAACAGTATCAGTTCCAACACTTCCTGTCAAACCTCACATTGTCAGCAGCACAGACCGGCTCAAGTGATGAGCTCTTTGCTAAGTGAGCTAAGTGAAATAAGAAGAGATTAACTGACGGCACAACCGGTGCTGGTCTGCCCGTTTCCTAAATGTTGCCATTGTCAACACTGGACTGCATTAATCATCAAATAAAAAGACATAAAATTGATTCCTTTTTTTGGTCTTGGTAAAGGCTCAGCATGTCGACATGACAACTATTAAATCATGTGTGAGAAATCACCAATACGTTAATTAAATACAGAAAATTTAAAAAGTGTCTTCAAAGTAACAAAACTGATTTCAATTTAAACTTTTAAACAAACTAACTGAATACATTCAAGGATTAAATAAGTAAAATATGGATTTTTATATTTTAGATGCAGGATTTGTTATTGATGTCCTCTAAAAAGGTAATTTGAACAAAGGCCTGATTGTCAAATATGACTTAAAGATTATTGCCTAAGAAACTGTCTCTTTTGTGCAGTAATGTGTATTTTATCTACCAACTGTCTTACAATACAAATAAAAAAACAGGAAAGTTAAGTAAATCACAGTACACTGCAAAAACTGTCCATCTTACCAAGTTTTACAATCTTTTATCAGCCAAAAAGACTTTTTGATCTTGTTTTGAGACTGATTTACTAAACAAGAATTAATTGTGTAAGAATAATAATCTTGTTTTCAGAATGTGTAAGATTATTTGTCTTGTTAGCCTAGAGATGGAATAAGAAAATTTTACTTTGTAATCTTGACATAAGAAAAAATTGAGTCAAATCAAGTATTTCAAGAATCTTACCAAGTAAAATTTTCTTACTCCAGTGGCAGAAATGTTTTGACTTAATTTGAGTCAAATTTTTAGACTAACAAGACAAATAATCTTACACATTCTGAAAACACCTGGGGACCACATGGGGACCTTTCTGGGTAGAGTTTGCATGTTCTCTCCGTGCATGCGTGGGTTCTCTCCGGGTACTCCGGCTTCCTCCCACAGACCAAAAACATGACTGTTAGGTTAATTGATAACTCTAAATTGTCCCTAGGTGTGAGTGAGAGTGAATGGTTGTTCGTCTCGTTTGTCTCTATATGTGGCCCTGTGATGGAGTTGCGACCTGTCCAGGGTTTACCCCGCCCCTCGCACTGTGACTGCTGGATATGGGCACCAGTGACCCACGTGACCCTTAAAAGGAAGAAGCGTGTACAGAAAATGGATGGATGGATGGATGGATTCTGAAAACAAGATTATTATTCTTACACAATCAGTTCTTGTTTAGTAAATCAGTCTCAAAACAAGATCAAAAAGATTTTTTGGATGGATAGAAGATTTTAAAACTTGGTCAGGTGGACATTTTTTGCAGTGAAGAAGTATTACAATGTATTTTAACCCCAAATATTCTGAATTGTTATATAAAAAAATAAACGATTCATAAAATAGGCAAAGAGCATCACCCCCCCAATGGCAGACCTAAAGTCATGCCCTTGGTCAAGGGATGAGGGCAGGAATAAAGGCTAGACCTTTCAAATTCACAGTCATTTTCTCCTGGTCTTCCAGGTGGATAAAGGTCTGGGCCCACCTACAGCACATAGGCCGGGCCCTTCGAAGCACACAGCCCCTGAATTTGGACACAACCTTTTTTTATCCAAACCCAAACTGACCCTAAAGGCCCTGTCCACACTACACTGGATGTTTTTTAAAAGTCTTTCTTCTTCGTTTGCACCTTTCATTATAATGTAAATAATGTTCCTGTGAGGAAAAAAAATCATTAGATATACATCTACCACTGACATTTGGAGTCAAACACCAAATGGCTCTAATTCAGTTTGGCAAAACTTAAGCAACACTTTGGTATGGTAGTAGCTGAGAGTCATGCAACATCTACTAAAAGTGTTAAGCTGGAAACATACTCGCTCCAACAGGTCGACGCGCGGTCACATGGTTGTTCGGCAGTCGTTTTCGCACAGACCTTTCATAGTCCCTGCACACTGCTCCGAGCTCAGGGGAACCCCTCCCTCCTGCTGAAACATACGTCACTGCATGGAATGTCTCCCCTCAACAGCAATGCAGAAAAAAAGTCCCTCACCCGACGGATTTTTATCCACATCTGTCCTGGTTTAAAAGCTCCACAGTTTCAGAGTCCTCCCTGCCTGTTTATGTTATGTCTGTTTATTTCCATTTATGAGTTTTTCACGGTTTGACTATCTTTATAAAACTCTGCTTCCTGGTCGGCTCTGGGAGCGAGTCGTTTTTTGTTTTTTTACCGAGTGGTTGAAGTAAATGCAGCGCATAGCGCTGTCAGCACAAACACGGATGAGTTTTTCTCTGTTTGTCTAGCTTTAAAACTGATCAAAACAGTCTGCTCTAGTCAGAAGCGAGTTTTTTTTTTCTTCTGCTATGTCCGTCCGAGCACTTTCAGTTCAGACCAATCACACATTACCGTCGACAAGGGAGGGGGGGTCAAAAAGTTCTGCCGGGGGCTTGTGCTAAAAGGGGCTGTCGACACGACGTTGCGAAGCCCGGTGACGTAATTTTCGCCATTAAACTGCGACAACCCGTGCCGATGTCGGCAGTTCGCAGGGAGTATGTTTCCAGCTTTACTCGTACAGCAAAAGCTTTGTTTAAAACTTTGACTTCAACTACTACAGTCAGCCATGTTTATTAGAAAAACACCTACCGAATCACTGGATGAAACTCTTAATGTCATTAATGTGTGTACAAATACAACTACAGCCCTAGATACCAACAACAAACTCATTTAACACTTTTGTCACGTTTTTTCTCTTTTTTGTTTCGTCTATCTTGTTTCATCCTCATCCATTTACCATTAAATGTGATTGTGTGCTGAAATGGTTAAAACATAAAGGTAAACGGGTATTAAAAAATGAGTTAGAATTGTTTTGGGAGACTTTTTAGCTGAGCTATCTGTTTTTCTGTAAATGAACGTGACAGTAATGGTGATGTTCTCACCACCTACAGTTTTACACTGTTTGTATTGGAACTGTCTAAACAAAGTTTTGTACTAAAAGCTGGGTTTGTTTAAAACATATTCAGAGTACTGTGTATGGGACCTCGAAAGCAAAAACAAAACAAAACAAAAAAATCAGGATGAAACTGCTGCCACATTTAAATAAAGCCACAGAGGGCAAAAGTGTGAATATTCACATTAAAATGCAGGTCATTCTGGTCAAACTCAACCCTTTCCTTTTTTTTAAGCACTAACTTTGCATGTGTGTGTGTCCGCAGCCATCCGAGGCTTCTCCCCGCAGCATCGGATCAGCAGTTTTGAGGAGGCCAAAGGTCTGGACCGCATCAACGAAAGGATGCCGCCGCGGCGCGATGCTGTCAACAGCGTGGGCCTGTCGATGGGCCGCATGAACATGGGCGAACCCAACGGAACCGACAACAACAGCAATATCCAGTGATCGACATGAACATCCTCCCACTGCCCAGACACATGCCTGCAGTTACAACAACAATACCTTATTTATCCATACGTGTACATAGGCATATTTACACAGGAACAGCAGACAACAGGACACACACATGCATACCCCCCGCCCCGTTGCCCTCAGCTGTTATTTAAAGGCATGAGCGTAGCCGGACTGTCCGGCTGAGTCTCTGTACTGAAACTACAACTCCCCTGTACCTGCACAACAACAGGAGAGAAAACCCTCCCCACCCCAAACACGGGGCTGAGTGGTGGGTTGCTGGTGAGAGTATGACACAACTGTATTGGAGGTGTGTTGTTTGGGCAGAGCAAGAAGCGTTTTTCTTTCTCCTGTTAGAGTCCCGGGACAGGGAGCGAAGCTGAGCTGTGGAGATGCCTGCCTGTGCGTGTGCCTGTACGTGAGGTTAGATATTTGAAGAAGTGTTTTTTTTTTTGTTTTGATTTTGTTTGTTTGTTTGTAGACACAAAAAGTTCGGACCAACAGCCAGGCAACGTCGAGGAAACTGTTCTTATCTGAGAGACGTGTGAAGAAAATCTCAGCTGCAGTCTAATCTGAGCCCTGTTGTCTTTTTTCTTTCTGCAGAGGAGATTCCCGTTTGTTTTTGTAGCACTACACTGCACGCAACCTCCACTTGAATTCAAGTAGAGGATTTCCTCCTCACCCACTGCAGAACTCTGGTTCCTGGCCAGCTCGCTCTCTGGAAAAGGCTTGAAACTGAGCCAGATTCTTTTTGAGGAGTTTCTTTTTCTCTCCCTCTCTCCCCTTACCTGTTGCGTGTAAATAGGATACATAGAGAGGTTTTATTGCGCACCTGATGCATATAATCACAGGAAGCAAAAATGCAATATAGCAAAAGACAAATGCTTTGTATTCATGTGGAGGGGAGTTAAATGTGAAGTCATGCTCTTTGTTCTCCTTCTGCATTATTCTCTTCCCACGTTGCTGTCTGTAAGGAACAGCAGTGATCACAGGGAGTCATCGGCCTTAAGGTAGGAAGTGATAAATCCAAGGAAACTGACTCTTCTGGTGAAGGCCTAGATAACAAGAAGAAGTCAGGAAAAAGAAAAGGTCTTTGTAAAGCATTTATATTAACGCATCAATGCATGCAAAGTTAAGTTCTTTGATAATAATGTGAAGATTATATTTGTGCTCTGTGTTTCACTATGGTAAGACAATTTTTTCTTGGTTTCATGGCTAATATAAATGAACAGAGGTAATAATGAGTCATTTCTTTGGTACATAATGCTAATTTATTTGGGGGTTTTTTTCTATTCATTTTGTCATGTTTTTTTTTGGGGGTGTTGGAGGGTCTCGATTTCTTTTTCACAACTTGTGTTTTTGGGCTTTGTTTTGACGCTGTACAGAATGACTGTGTGCTTCTATTCAAAGTGTGGAGTCGTCCACGTTCTCTCCTCTGTTTCTTTGCCATTGTACAGGAGTTGTTTTTAAACCATAACTATGAAGAATAAATAATCAACTAGCAACGATGAAAGAGCACGGGCGTTTCAGGCGGCCGACAGCATGACTGCATGGGTAAAACCTGTGCTGTTTGGAGCAAAAAAGCAGCACACAGGTTGTAGCGAGCGAGCCGGCGTGTCCCAGGTTAAAGCAGAAAAGTGTTCTCTCTCATCATCGATGGCTCCTCTTCTTATTTCATGACATTTATAATTATTATGGTTCTATTTATTATGGACATTATTCTTGATATGTAAGCTCTCTTTCTGCTGGTTGCTCTTCATGTTGCATTGCTCCTTGGTTGAACTTGTGC